TTAACACTTAAGTTGTTAGGATAAAAACATTCCCTAGAACATTTTAGATTTGAAAAAGTCTCCTAGGTAATTTATCCATTAAAATTACTTTATATTTCAAAATGCTCTTTCCTTCAGAAATCAGTGTCAGTGTCCTTGTCATTTGTTGGTAACTTTGGGGTGCTTCTTCAATATTTCTTCAGCTGGAAAGTAGGATTCTATCCGCTGTGGTGATCTGGTGGGTCAGGAGTCGCAGACATTCACAGACAGGGAGTTCAAATCCATCAGTGACTACACAGCAGAAAGATGGACAGCCTTCTTCAGTGAGATGTTCTTCCTCTGAGAACACCCTGAAGCATCAGCTAGGAGTGTTTTCTAACTTGAAGGCACACAAAACCAACATGTAACTAAAATATTCTATCTCACATGAACAAACACAGAGATCTTTAAAATTAAGACATTGGATAAAAAAAAGAGAAATTTATCCATGAAAGAGAATCTCTGTGGAATCTAATCGATTTATGAGATCTGTCTCATTTCCAGGCTTTCAGTCCTGACAGCAAACAAATATCTACGTTGAGTGAACCTGTATCAAGAAATTAATGCATATTATGCATAGCATTGTTTTTGTTTTTTATTTAGCTAAGCTGAACAAAGAGCAGGTATATAGATGCTTCAGAAAGAAACAGTATAGACTTCCTTGGAAATTGCAGCTGCCTATTAGAGTTACTAGTCTTTAACACGGGATGGTAAAGGCATTATTCACTGTCATCAAATAAATTCTGACTCACAGTCAGACCCTCCATTTGGATTTTAAGGCTGTAAATCTTTATAGGAAGAAACTGTCCATCTTCCTACTCTGGAGCTTCTGATGGATTTGAACCAGTGACCTTTTGGTTAGTGGTGCAACTCCTAATGCATTATACTACCTTAGCATATCTTCTGTAAAACTCAAGTTATCAACAACCACGTGGTTCACTTTACACACAATGTTTAGATTTTCTTATGACTTATTTATTCAATTGCTCTAGTATAGACTTCTGAAATATTTCTATTTAAATTATATTTTTACTTTTACAAAGTCACTGTTTTAGCTTTCTGAAAGATCTGTTAAGTCAAATCTCTTAAGTTTAACAGATACAGAAATGCCAGATAATATGAACCAGAGAAGAAATATTAGTGTATGTCATGAAGTGATACAATAATGACAAATTAAAATAGTGTAGAAAAACCAGTTTGTTTTGACAGTTTGAGTAAGGAAAAAAGCAGATTTGAAAAGTCAATTACTAACATTATGTGTGATTATAATTATTTCTCAGAGTTGATAGAGAATCACAACGAAGCATCAACTTTAGGTCTGAATATTAAAGTTGATGATTTTTTCTTTGTGATCACAACCTAACAAAAATCAACTTTATTATAGCAAAATTTTAAAATGTAGCAATGGAGTAGTTTAGTGAACCAATTATAGATCATAATGATATATTAATTTTATGTTGGGTAATATATTTTTGGATATACTATAGCATTCATATTTTTCCTTGATTTTTTTCTTTAAGCCTCAGGGTATGAGCCCATGAACTGTATGAAATGAAAATGAGCCATATTTTACCTTTTCTATCTGTAGCTGAAAAAATATTGCCTCTTCAATTCCACATTTAGATCAGACTTCAGTAAAGGTAGAGTTTTTCTTTTGTAAGGAACATTTATTGTTTTTAATTTCTTAAATGCAAAGGAAGATTTTTTCCCCTGAATAAAATATTTATTATTGTTATATGCCATCAAGTTGCCTGTGACTCACAGTGATCTTATGTACAACAGCCCTAAACCCTGCTCTATAGTGTCCCAATCTTATCTCTGACACACTTACCCCCGTTACCCCAGTCACTGAATCAATTCATCTCATCAAATGTCTTCCTCTCCTGCACTGTCCCTCCACCCATCCAAGCATGATATCCCTTTCCAAGGACTGGTCCCTCCTTGTAACATGTGCAAAGTATGTCAGATGAAGCTGCAGAGTCCCTGCCTCCAAGGAGCAGCCTGGTTTAATCCTCTCCAGGTTGAACCTGTTTGTTCTCTTAGGAGTCCATGGTATATTCAATATTTTTCTCCAACAGCACAGCTCAAAGGCATCAATCCTCCTTCTTCTATCATCTCTAGTCATTGTCCAGCTCTCTGACACATAGCAAGTGATTGCAAAGACCATGGCCTGTGTCAGGCGCACCTTAGTCTCCAGACTGACATCATTGCACTCCAGTACTTTGGAGAGGTCTCAAACAGCATGGTTTTTTCTTTACATAATAGAGCTGTACTTCCAATTGTGATTACTGCATTAGAATAAATTCCAAGAGCTGAAATTAAGTGAAAAAATAACCCCCAAAACCAAAACTCCTAAATTTGTATTTAAATGAATTTTGATACATGTCATCAAGTTATCTTTCAAGCAAAATGTGTTTGAATGATTGTGTGAAACATGATGTGAATGAAAGAAGGTGTGAAATAACACTGTATACAAATTTTGTGTGCAAACCAATATAAAATATTGTTTTTAAAGTGAACAGGAAGGAAGAAAAAAAAATAGTAATCAAAATACCTTCTCATTACAGACATTGGAGGGGCTTCTTTTTCTGTGTTTTAAGAAATTGCATTGTCAACTCAAAGGCACATGGACCAAATCCATCAGGTGCTTCATCGGAGAAAGATGGGCAATCCCTTCCCATGAGATTTACTATCTCTGAAAATTCACTGGAGAGTAACTTATGAATTGTTTTTGACTTAATAGTACATAACAGCACAATCTGGCATTTTAATTTTAATTTTATACACTTGCCAAAGGTTATCATAAAATAGGTATTTCTTTCAGTTCAATTTTCACTATTTTTAGGCATTAATTTAATCATATTGGATGGAACTGCCATGTATGGTTGAGTATGTTGTTCACTGTACCAGTATTTCTATTTAAAGGGTCTGAGCCTATCATGACAAGGAATGCAACTTCCTAGTTCTGCATAAGAAATCATATGGGCTAGTGGGCACTTATTACTAGATTTTCAATTCAATCTTTAAATTTTATAAATTAACATAAAATTTTTGTTTTAGATGTTTATGGTATTTGTGTATGTGTGTGTGTGTGAGTGTGAGTGTGTATATACACACACTCATATTACACTTCTTTAATTAAACTAATAAACACAGTTCTCATCTCCAGTTTCTAAGATACTTTAAATATTTTAACTAAACTGATATTCCAGCCACTGACACCATTTCTGTCTTTTGACATCTAGGTTATTCAACAAAGAAATGAAGAATGTGACCATACTCAGTTTTTAATTGAAGAAAAAGAGTCAAAGGAAGAGGATTTTTATGAAGATCTTGACAGATTTGAAGAAAACGGTACCCAGGAGTCACGCATCAGCCCATATACCTTCTGCAAAGCTTTTCCTTTTCACATAATATTTGACCGGGACCTGGTGGTTACCCAGTGTGGCAATGCCATCTACAGAGTGCTTCCACAGGTAAAATGGTATCTAACTTTAATAGGGCCTGAGGCAAACACATAGCAGTTCATTTAACCTTTTTGACTGTGTGTTGTGTTACACATAGTTTAGCACATCTCACATAAATTGTTTAACCTTGAGGTAAGCACATGCTACAACTCTGATGACATAATCTGTATTGAGTTGCTCTGCTAGCCAAAATGTTGCTGATTCAAATCCACTGGTTGCTTCTCAAGAGAGAGGTAGGCAGTCTCCTCCCATTGTGATTTACAGTTTCAGAAACTCAGTGGAAGGTCATTATGAATCAGAATTGACTTGATCGTAGGTGTTTTATTTTTTTTAAAAAAAGCTTTTTTCTAGGACATATATGTTTATTTATGTTCTAATCATTTATAGAAACATTAGAAAAATGTGATATAGTAGACTTGTTTAATGAAAAGGTGATTAACTTTCTAATAATAATAATAAACTTTCAGTTGATTATTTACTTACTGAATGGATATACCTGGGATAGATATCTGTTGTTAGCAGAAATAGAGGCAGCCCCTAAATAATGATGTCCCATGCACAGGATAGAATGTTGTTATCTATAGGATTGTCATTGATTGATTTTCTGAAGTAGATCGTCAGACCTTTCTTCCTTGTTGATATTCATCTGGAAATTCCATTACAACGTGGAAGCCTCCACAGACAGGTTGGCGTTGGCTGGGAATCAAGCTGGGAGTCCCTTATGGAGGCAAGAATTCTAACACTGAAACAATCTCTCTGACTATAATTCCCAGCGTTGGGATTTTCAAGGAAAAGATGAGGTTTTTTAAAAAAAAAACAACACAGAACACTAAACAGGAAGAATGCAGAAACCATAACAGGATTTAATAGGAAAAGCATCGGAAAACAATGAGTAGGGTCATGATGCAAATACATGCTTCACTTATATTATTTCGATCCATTTGTAAAATTATTTTTTCTTACTCTTACTCCATCTGCTAGCTAACTTTTAAAGTTGACTTAACTGAGGTTCTTTTTCCATGTGATTATAAAGACATTATAATTAAAGAATAACTCCCATAGAGTCATACTTTCTCACACAGCCAAGAGTCTGCTCATTGCTGTTAAGTCAGAACCACTTTATAGCTGACACGCCTTTGAGTTTCTGAGGCTGTGAATCACACATGGGAGATGACCAGTCTTTCTCAGGAGCTGTTGGTGAATTTGAACCACCTGAGAGGCCTAGTCTTTGGTTTAGCAACACAACTCCATATGGGCTACATCACCAGAACTCTCTGAGAGGGTGATAATAAATTCATAAATTTGGAAGCAGAATAGTGTGCTTTGTGGGCACTTGGCTGATTCTGCCATCCATTCAGTGTATAACTGTATGTGTCTTTCTATACCTCGCTCTGCCTTATCTCTTTTGTTATGCATGAAGGTAGTTAAGATGTGAGGACCAATTCATTCAGTGCCTAAGGCATTGTAAGTAGTCAAAAAAGAAATTTCCTATTATAACTGTGGATGATGACTTTAACTAGCTTACTTTGATCACATCATCAGAAAGACTAATTGCTAGGAAAGGTTATCCTGTCTGAGAGAAAAATTAAGAAAAGCTAGGATGTGGTTTCCTCAGTGGCTACAGTACTGATCTCAAATGTAGCAACAGTTATGAGGATGGTACAGGACCAGGCAACATTTCATTATGTTATACATAAAGTGATTATGATTTGGAGTCAATGTGGGGACAGCTAGAAAGAACACTATTATTGTTCTTGTGTACCATCAACTTGGAATTGACCCATTGCTGACCCTCCAGTGGGTTTTGAGAGGGAGCTTAATTGGACAGAAGGAGGTTGCCCATCTTTCTCCTGAGGAGCAGCTGGTAGATTTGAACTGCTTGCCTTCAGGACTGCATCACAGCTTCTGGC